CAGTTTATCAATTCTTGAATCCTCTTGATTTACTCAAGATTCTTGGATCATCCAAGGCTATAGATGACCAAACATAATCCTTTAAATTTTGTAACTTTCCAGTCCTTCTGACCCTGATTTTCTACCAGAGCTTTACTTTCAGTTTCTGTTGTTCTGATCACAGCGTGTATAAAACATTACTTGTTTAAAAACGAAAAACAAACTGATCTAGGGGAAAGCTGATGGGGAAACCTGACAGTGAAGTGTCATTAACTTAGTAACTTTTATTTTGTGAAAATTTTGTAATCTATGAGTCTGAATTTCAATACTTTTTCTTCAGTAAAATTCTTAACCATGGTAGAAGTTATTTTTGTTAATGCTCAGTGATCTATTTCTCCCATATTCTGAGCTAAATTGGCTAGTCTAACCTGAGTAAAAAAAGTAGTTATAATGTTATCAGATTGGTGAAATACCTTAGTTTTCAAAGAAATGCATTAAGTAAAGAATAGGGTTTAACAGGGCTGGCAGGTGGCATGGTGGTTAAGGCATTGGACCCCACATGGCCTACTCTGCAGTTCAAGTCTCAGACATAGCGGCTTGAAACACACAGCACATGTTCATGCACACCCAAAATCTCAAGGAGAGAATGGAGGTGAAGGGATCGTAGTGAGGCTATCCTCTCTGAGGGGTGATTTCTCACTTTCCGTCTCACTGTCTCTATCCAGTGAGTGCACATGCCCTATGGCAAAAATTAAAATAAATTTTAAAAATAGAACAGGGGTTGATATTTTAATCAAATAACAGCAATAAATATCTACTGTATGCAAACTATTTCACATGACAAGTGAGGTACTAGATAATTGGATTTTAAAGTATTCAGTACATAAATATTGATCAATAATAGTTCATTAAGAAATCTCTTCATGTCTAATTGGCACCTTTCTTTACTGAACCGGGTATTTACTCTGGAATATACGTACATGAATAATACCATCGTAGAGTCACAAAAGTGATAAAACTCAGCAGTATCGACCAATTACCTCCTGAAATGGAGTTAAAGTAAACATATGTGTATACAATGGTGATTTCCATATTTATTGGGTTCTTGGGAAGGTTATGATGCATTTTTGCATAGACAAACACATTGTGACTTTTCTGATGATCCAGTATTAGAAACTGGGATACAAAGATTACCAACCTGCATTCTAATATAGAGTTTAGGTTCTACAAATTAGAACATATGTTCTAATGGGCTATAAAGTTCTAATAACTTGCTGTGATAAGTAAAAAGTCAGACCAGAATATGTAAACTTAAAAATAAACTACATTATAAAATTAGTTTTTTGTTAAATTCATGGACTTTCAATAATTTCTGGAAATCAGCATATAAATGTAATGCATTTAAACTTCTATGCCATAAATGTCCCAAATAAGAATGATGTGTTGGCAATGAAAATTAAAATGAAACAAGTTGTGGAAGGGGTAGAATCACTGTATCTAATCACTGGCTTTTTTCTAGTTATTAGTTGGGGATTCTCTACCTGGACAATGAAAATCAGTGTGTGTGTGTGTGTGTGTGTGTGTGTGTGCGCATGTGTGTGTTGAGGTTCTTTTGGTGGCTTTGAAGGCACATCTGCTTCTTCCACTTAAAAAAAAATGAATAAGGAGTCCATAGATATACAAAAGTCATATTCTTTTATAAACTATCATATTTTAAAAATATGACTATTCACATTAGGTAGATAATGCTGCCATGGGAATGTGTCTTCTTAGAAATAGAAGTCAACTTTCCAAGTATAAGACAGTCTCTTTTTCTCTTTTACTCTTCATTCCCTGCTTTGTCAAGATCCTGTGTGGCTGAAACAGTAGTCACAACTGCATTCTGATTTTGGAATGACACATCTTCACCAGATGGTGGTGGTTTATACAAAAAGACGGCAGAGCCATTGAATAAAATGGTGATAATCTTACAAGTAACACCTAAATAGAAAAACAGAAATTAATATCATGCAATTAAACCTTTATTATAAAAATTAACTCTCACTGAGTATTCTTTATGAACATAAACATTAAAGAGAAGAATTATATGGGCATTATAGTCCTATACTTTAAATTTTCTCAGTTTTAGAAAGGAATGAAAATGTTTGTATAAAATAAAATAAGCTAGAATTTATTTTCTTTCTAAAGAATGAAGATATACAATAATAATTATTCTATTCTTGGTTATGATTGCACCTTTATATAAAATAAGTATTTTGTAGAATTAAGTAAACCCACATTACATTTACAATTTTTCCTTTCTAGGTTTTTGCAATAGGACACATTTGCAATAGGACACATTGCTCACCAGAAAGAGACAGGGAGAGGGAAAGTGAGAAATCACCACCACCACCACCCCCAGAGGGGATGACCATGCTGCAATCCATTCTCCTCCTGAAATTTTGAAGGTACACACATATGCCATGTCCAGGATTCGAATCACAGTCAGTCATGTGGAAGTCCAGCACCTTAACCACTATGCCACCCCACAACTTTGTGAACATAAAACCATAACTATAAAACTATGAACAACCAGAAATTAATGATAAAGTGAAATAGTTTATACCATCCTGACCCTGAAAAATAAGCCACAAAATTTTCACATGCACAATTGAAATAACACTAAAAATTAAAAAAAAAAAGGCTATGGAGTTCTTAGGAAAACAACTCTAAGACAATAACACCACATTAAATACTTAGCCAAAGCTATTCTTCCTTATCAGGTAAAAATATGAAAAATTCACCTGACAAGTTGTGATTTCTTCTCAAATAACTTTGATTTTGAGCTCAGCTATATGAAGAGAAACTCATTTCAGCCACAGTATAGGAACTTACTAAGTGCCACTTAAACAAATTAAATGTGGTCTCAAACCAGTTGCCAACATAGGGAGGCACTGCTGCAGAATATGAGCTACATGGGAAGGCACTGGGTTCGCATAGGGGCTCAACCCAAACATGCTAGGTGCACCTGCAGGCATGCCCATCATCCAGGCTGGCTGGGAGGCTCGGAAGGTGGGGATGGGGGAGACCTCAGCATCGTAAGATTCTGTCAGGGTCTCAGTTTCCCTCTCACTCTCAATAAATAAATAAGTAAAAAGAAACGTGATCTCCCATTTACAATAGCTGATTTCTTTTGGTTAATCATTAATTTTTTTTTGAGGTTTCTGCTATAGGGCGCGTGTGCTTGCCAGACAGACAGAGAGAGACAGAGAGACAGAAAGTGAGAAATCACCCTCCAGGGGGGATGGCCACGCCGCAATCCCTTCTCCTCCGTTCTCCTCTCGGGATCCCGGGCACGCACGCACATGCGCCTGGCGTGAGTTTTAAGCCACCAGGTCCGGGACGCGAACCGCGGTCAACTATGTGGGAGTCCAGCGATGTAGCCATTACGCCAACTGCTGGCCCCAATCATTAATATTTTTAAATGTGCATTTGAAAAATAGTAATGCTCATGGAGCGAAGCATTATTAGATTTATAGTATCAGTTACACACAATACTAACTGATGGCGAAATGGTTACATCACTAGACTCCCATGTCATAGACTGTGGTTCGAGTCCTGGCCCCTGTGGCTAAGACCACACCAGGCACATGTGCATACATGCCCCAAAATCCCAAGAGGAAAATGGAGTTGAAGGGACTGCAGCATGGCCGTCTCCCCAAGGGGTGATCTTACTTTCTGTCTCTGTCTCTAATGACCACAGGTGCCCTATAGCAAAAAATCTCTCAAAAAGAGAAAAAAGAAGAGAATAGAAAGAAATAATAATAATAATAAAGAAAGAGTGGGAAAGAGACATTCCAAGCAAATGATATAAAAAAAAAGGCTGCGGTTGCAATACTCTTATCAGACAAAATAGACTCTAAAACAAAGAAAGACACTATATAGTACTAACTGATTCACCAGGCAGTCCAACCACACAGAGGTAAATAAAAGGCATTCAGGTAGGAACAGAAGAAGCTGATCCAAACAGATGAGGCAAAAAGGCTCAAATATCGTGGCTAATCTAAATGACAAAAGGTTCTTATGACATGCCACTGAGCCAAAAGCTATGTCCCTACCTCGACTCCATGTGTATTCCAAAGTTCAGATGTCTAGACACAACCATTTCAGAGACTTTCTCAAAATTCTTTTACCTTTTGAGTACACTTTTCAAAAAGGTGTGATGGAAGTTTTTTTAAAATTATGTTACCTAATGAAAGCTAAGATTTTATTCCCTTCTATTTAAGATTGAACTTGGGGGAGCAGCAGTTAGCATAACAGCTATGTCGCTGAACTCCCATGTAGTGTACCGCGGTTCGAGTCCCAGACCTGGTGGCTTAAACTCACGCCGGGCGCATGTGTGTGTGCGTGCCCAAGATCCCGAGAGGAGAATGAAGAAGAAGGGATTGTGATGTGCCATCATCAAATCACTCCCCAAGGAGTGATTTCTCCTTTCTTTCTGTCTCTCTCCGTCTTTCTGGTGAGCACACACACCCTATAGCAGAATCCTCTCAAAAAAAAATGTTTTCACAAAATTCAGTTTCAACAACTCAATGACACTGTTAACATGCTTTGTTCTTATTTTTAATATGTTTAAAATGCTTTTAATCATTTAATTTTCTATTTTAAAATTAAATTTTATTACTTTTTATTTAATTTTAGTTCTTATATCATACCACTTCATTACATTTATTTTATTGGCTAATAATTTAAATTAGAAAAGGAATACTGATCCTTTACATTTTATTATATTTTACCTCATGATTTATAATATATTTTCATATTTAATATTTGAAATAAGTTAAATATTGGGTTGTCAAGAAGGTCATGATGCGTTTTTGCATGGAAAAACACATCATGACCTCCCTGACAATCTAATGTTTGGCTTAAGTGGTTTTTTGAATTCTGAATATTTTTATATAATATGGTGTTTAAGATACTTGAGGATTACATGATATAAAGATTTTAGTGCTGGTGCTGATATTTTGCCTCAGAGTTGTAATCATCATTATTTACTGCCTTTATGTGTCAGGCTCATAAAGTTATGAGAGGACAATAATGAGCAAGATACTTAAGAGTCTACTAGTTTAATTATATTAGTTCCGTAATATTATTTCTTAAATTTTCATATATGTATATACATATATATATTATATATATATTAATACGTATGATTAAGATGTTATATCTGAAAATGTGGGGAATTTTATATATATATATATATATATATATATATATAAATAAGACGTCCCTACCTCGACTCCATGTGTATTCCAAAGTTCAGATGTCTAGACACAACCATTTCAGAGACTTTCTCAAAATTCTTTTACCTTTTGAGTACACTTTTCAAAAAGGTGTGATGGAAGTTTTTTTAAAATTATGTTACCTAATGAAAGCTAAGATTTTATTCCCTTCTATTTAAGATTGAACTTGGGGGATCAGCAGTTAGCATAACAGCTATGTCGCTGAACTCCCATGTAGTGTACCGCGGTTCGAGTCCCAGACCTGGTGGCTTAAACTCACGCCGGGCGCATGTGTGTGTGCGTGCCCAAGATCCCGAGAGGAGAATGAAGAAGAAGGGATTGTGATGTGCCATCATCAAATCACTCCCCAAGGAGTGATTTCTCCTTTCTTTCTGTCTCTCTCCGTCTTTCTGGTGAGCACACACACCCTATAGCAGAATCCTCTCAAAAAAAAAAAAAGACTGAACTTGGCAAACTCCATTTAAAACCTCTCACAACATACAATGACTGATTTGTGTTTAATACTATAAGATGGTTCAACAGAGCAAACAAAACATTCCAAACAGGGACCTTAAGTGATCAACAGTACGATTTTTTCTTGAAATCATAAGCTGATGCTAGAGTTATCAAGTCATTACTTACTTATGGCTACCAGCATATGCGCCATCTTGATGTTATCATAAACCCAACAGGCCCCTTTAGTTCCACATTGATCGGTATCCCAGAGAACACAAGTGCTGTCTATTATGATGCCAAATATAATCGGTCCTGGAATTGTGCCTAGAAGAATCAAGGTGAAGTAATTATGGGTGAAGATTGCAGTTTATAATTACAGTTTGTACACATGAGTATATAAATAAAACAGGTATTACTGTCTTTATGCAAATTAATTCATTCATATAAGGTCAATGGAAAACTACAAAGCATATATACCATATTTTTAAATAACTATATGTAATTATTATACTTCTAATGAATTTAAAAAAGTGTTTTTTCATTGCCAGAGAGCATGTGCACTTGCCAAAAAGATGAAGAGACAGCGGGAGAGAGAGAGAGAGAGACGTGGTCACATTGCAATCCCCGCTCCTCCATTTCTCCAGCCTGTCAGGATTTGGGCACGTATGCACATGCACCTGGTGTGTGTTCCTCAAACTACCAGGGTAGAAATTCAAACTGCAGTCAGCCATGTAAAATCCAGCCAGTTCTTCCCACAAAGAGGTATTTTAATAGAATTCTCAAGTAAATATTGAGCTATCATTTAGTGAAAATAAATATTTTAATTCACTGTTTTTCTACTATAAGAAATGAATGCGTTTTTGAAATTAGCTATTACACTTTAGAAAAATACGAGTATTCTTCATGCAAAAATATATCTGTGTTGAACTAATGTACGTTCTGTGTAAGTTATGTGTGTGCTACAGGATACAAAATCAATGTTCAAAAGTCACTTGCATTTCACTAACAGTGACCTAGCCATTAAAAAAAAAATCAATAAAACAATCCCATTTATAATAGCATTAAAAAAACACTTAGATACACATGTATGTGTGCATATGTATACAAAATAATGGGGACATGTGTATACATACACGTGTACACACAGTAGCATGCATGTGTGTGTGATAGTATATATGTGTATATATACAGACACATATATGCATACTAACATTCCTACAAATACATTGCGGTGTTCTATACTCATAGTCCCTCTCCCCAGGAGACCAAGAGACACTAAAGTTTCACATAATTTAAAGTCTTCCAACTATTACAAATCAAACACATGATTTGAGGTTGTGCGTCTGAGAAATATTTTAGCTAGAGCTGGTCTGCCATGTCCTACAGCACGATAGAGTCAAAAGAACACTGGACCAAATCATTTTCCTAGTCCAGTTTCTAACACCAGTTGTGTAAGGACTGGCCAAATTTTGCACCAGTCAAGGCCTTCACTCATCAGAAAAACTGGGTTATTTGTAATGTTCCAACGTTTGATTTTGCTTAAATAAATTATCTTAATGTTATGTTTATCATGTCCTCTCTTGCCTCTTTCTTAAATCATGGACCTTATAATACTGTCTGGTATCGATTCTTTGTTTCAGCAGTTCTTAGTCAAACTATTCTGCAGTTACTAGTGGTCCATTTTGACTTTTTATTACAAACATAACACAATAGGGTCAAAAATGGTGATAAAAATGCAAATAAAAGGAATTATATGTTGGTGATTATACTTTACAAATTAGGTCAATGTAACATTACATTTGCAACACACATGGAAATGGCAGGCAATCAATTAGAGAGCTAAAGAGTAGCCAGGTTTTCTCACGTGATACATAATTAATACATCCCAAATACTGGGGAATTGCTTTCTTTGGTGGTGATTATGTAATCTTCCACTACACTTTATTTTCTTGGCACATTTATTCATAAATGGATAAATCAGTAACATGAATGAATCCAAATAGTCAACAATCACCAATGGATTAAGAGCAACAGCATACCTAATACTCGAAGCATCATAAATTGCATTCCCAATGCTAGAGACCGTTCCTTCTGATTGACACACCTGGAAATAATAAATAAAATACATGAGATCAATAAAGGTTGTATAGTATGTTGACTCTGAGCAAGTTCATATTTATAGCAGTTTATCATTTCTATACTAAAGTGTACACACAAAATAAGCACAGTATTTGTAAAAGCTTATAACCATAGTATTTCTGAAATTATAAAAGAAAAACATTATCTACCTAAAATATTTCAAATAATACTAAAGAGTTACAAACTTCTATGAATTTTAACAAGTGTAAAGGAGAAACGGTATTCATAAGACTAACTTTTCATTTAAAAAAACACAGTTGACTACATGGGAGTCCAGAGACACAGCCATTATGCTAACTGCTGGTCCTGGGGAAAAAAAATTTAAAGTTAAACTAGTATATGTGCAAAAAAAAAAAAAACACTCTTAATTTTTTAACTAGCTTTTAATTCTTAAACTTTTATTTTTTTAAATTTTTCATTCTTTTTAACTTAAAATTTTAACCAGAGGAGGCATATGCTCCCAGGTAAGAGACAGAGAAAGAGAGAAAGCATCCCCATGAAGGATGGTCACACTGCAATCCTTTCTCCTTCAATTCTCCCTCTTTTCGGGATTTCAGGTATGCCCAGATGCCCAATATGTTTTGCAAGTTATCAGGCCTGGGACTTGAACCATTTAGTCAGCCATGTAGGCTCCAACCACCTTAAACCACACTGCCAACCCACCCTAGCTTTTACTAACTTTGAGATCAAAATTATACCTATTGGATAAGAGTACATATCGTGTGCAGTATTCAGTAGTTCCTAAAGCTCAATTTGATTCAACAATAATTCATAAGGAATGATGTCAGAGTTAAATGAAATATGATGATGGCATAGAAGAGTTGTGAAAGATGAAAGAGATAAAATAGTCTTTAAAACAGGAAAGTAGTTAAAGGGGATTTATGTAATTTTTCAAAAAATGAAGTCACAAAAAGCTTTTCTCTCTTCTCTAAATACTTCCAACTTCTATAAAGTGTAATGTTAACAATTTAAAGTTTTCAGACACTTACCATTCATCAAAAAAATGGAACTGTCCAAAAGTCACAATCGAATATTAAGACAACAACAACAACAACAACAAAAACTAAAAGATAATTTGTTAGGAGATGATACGGAAAAGTTGATGAGCCTATGGGAGGGCAGGTATAAAAAATTTCTGTAAAATGATAAAGAAGGAGAAAGAGCAAACTGACAACAAGAGACACAGCCATTATGCTAACTGCTGGTCCTGGGGAAAAAAAATTTAAAGTTAAACTAGTATATGTGCAAAAAAAAAAAAAACACTCTTAATTTTTTAACAAGCTTTTAATTCTTAAACTTTTATTTTTTTAAATTTTTCATTCTTTTTAACTTAAAATTTTAACCAGAGGAGGCATATGCTCCCAGGTAAGAGACAGAGAAAGAGAGAAAGCATCCCCATGAAGGATGGTCACACTGCAATCCTTTCTCCTTCAATTCTCCCTCTTTTCGGGATTTCAGGTATGCCCAGATGCCCAATATGTTTTGCAAGTTATCAGGCCTGGGACTTGAACCATTTAGTCAGCCATGTAGGCTCCAACCACCTTAAACCACACTGCCAACCCACCCTAGCTTTTACTAACTTTGAGATCAAAATTATACCTATTGGATAAGAGTACATATCGTGTGCAGTATTCAGTAGTTCCTAAAGCTCAATTTGATTCAACAATAATTCATAAGGAATGATGTCAGAGTTAAATGAAATATGATGATGGCATAGAAGAGTTGTGAAAGATGAAAGAGATAAAATAGTCTTTAAAACAGGAAAGTAGTTAAAGGGGATTTATGTAATTTTTCAAAAAATGAAGTCACAAAAAGCTTTTCTCTCTTCTCTAAATACTTCCAACTTCTATAAAGTGTAATGTTAACAATTTAAAGTTTTCAGACACTTACCATTCATCAAAAAAATGGAACTGTCCAAAAGTCACAATCGAATATTAAGACAACAACAACAACAACAACAAAAACTAAAAGATAATTTGTTAGGAGATGATACGGAAAAGTTGATGAGCCTATGGGAGGGCAGGTATAAAAAATTTCTGTAAAATGATAAAGAAGGAGAAAGAGCAAACTGACAACAAAAAAACTGGCAAAACAGCCAGGGAATAACCTGTTTTCAATCAGTTAGCACTGTTTAGAGGAAGATTTAATCTTACAGAAGCTAATGTTTATAAGGTAGAATGCATGTCATCCTGATTTGGAGTGCATTTAGTTTCCACAATGCTCAAATGCTGTTAAACCCATTGCCAACACACAGCTGAAGCTTCATGAATGAAGCAGAGAAACTAACACCAGTTGGGGGTGTGTGGTGAAAGGGGAACTCTTTTACACTGCTGGTGGGAATGTAGATTGGTGCAATCACTCTGGTGAATAATTTGGAGATTCCTCAAAAATCTACAGATAGATCTGCCATATGATCCAGGGATCCCACTCCTCGGTATCTACCCAAAGGACAGAAGAATTCTTCATTGGAAAAGTGCTTGCACATCGATGTTTATTGCGGCACTATTCATAATTGCTAAGTCTTGGAACCAACCCAAATGCCCCCATATGGAGGAATTGATTGAAAAACTGTGGCACATATACTCTATGGAATACTCAGCCATAAAAACCAACAGAACCCTGGCTTTTGACAGAAAGTGGAAGAATATGGAAGATGTACTGCTGAGTGAGGCAAGCCAGGCTATGAAAGAGAGACATTGTATGTCCCCACTTAACATATACTGTATGTCTGCATTCTATGACTGAAACTGATTGACTAACGGTTAAACAATCACAAGAGATGGGTGTGAATGTCCGACGAGGTGTATGTGGGGGAGTGGGGCCTAACAAAGGACATTTGGAGAAGGGATACGGAGGTGGAGCATTGATGGGATGGGGAGGTGTGGTGTTATCTGTTAAAGATATTTTGATCAATGGGTCTGGGGAGAAATGTGCACATATCGAAATGGTCTCATTGTAAACCAAACAATATGATTGAAAGTATATACAAAAAACAAATAATAAATAATGTGGGAAAAAAAAAAGAAAATCATACATACCTTAGGATGGACACAGTTATAGGAGTAGCAGCCATAAATGTGAAAATGACTGTGAGAAGGAAAATGCTAAGAAATACAGGTAACTTTGCACATTGAGTTTTACACTTTCCAGCTTTAGCTTCAAATCCAAAACTTTCTGGAATCGATGTTATTTCTGCTTTCCTTTCAATACAGGAACAGTTGTAATATATCTAAAAAAATTAGACATAAAAATACTGAAGGTGCTTAGTTTTAAAACATATTCTTATTATTGTAAATTAGATTATCTTTAGACATGGTACACTCACACTGTCTCGATCCATATGTTGGATCGCCAGGAAAGTCATGATGCATTTTTGCACAGAAAAACATAGAAAAGTGTCAGGACTCTCCCAGAACTTAATATAAAAAAATATGTTGAGGAACAGTAATTAACCCTTAAAAAGTAAGCAGGAGAAGCAAACAATATTTATGAGTCACAGTCATCCACACTTGACTTTTGTGGTCATCCTTCTACCTTGTAACTTATTGGTGCAAGAATATCAGTTAAGTGATCTCATACGTTCAAGACTAGTTTCAATAGACGATAATTAATCAAATTATACTTTCCTGCTAATTCTCTTCTTTTCCATTATAGGAGGCAAAGAAGCATCTATAGTGATTATCAGCAATAGTTTTTGGTTTTTGGTCGAAAAGAGGTAAACATTGAATACATTTATTACACATGATTGAGGATATGTGTAGAAGTATACATGTGTATAAAACATAAAAAATGAATAACTGCCCACATATACATTAATGTTGGTTTTAAAAAGAATGAAATATTTTTATAAATTATTTCAGTTAATTATTTCTACGTTTTCATGTAGAAAAAATATTTTCTTGCAATGTTCAATGTGTCTTTACATAGGAAAAGGACAGCAGTTTCTTATCTCTTATTTCAAATGTGGTTAAGACCACTGGACTCCCACATGGCAGATCACGGTTGGAGTCCTGGACCTGGTGGCTTGCTTTCTCTCTCTCTCTCTCTCTGTTTCTCTCTCTGTCCCTCTCTGGTCAAATTAAAATAAACAAATAAATACATAAAGTTAAATAAAATGGCTCTTTTAGAAAAGGAATAAAAATTTGTCATAATTTTTACATATTTTATTCATTGCGATCTTGTATAGTATACATTTCTCCCAGGTTCTTTTTAAAGTATCACATTATCTACTAATGCATAGTGTTATGTACTCCTTGTAATCTGAATATATTTATTGCCAAGGCTCTTAAGTTTAGCTGAATTGAAATGTTTAAATTGCAATGTAGCACAAAAAAATTCCACTAGATTCTCTCCAACTATTTAACTGTCCTAAGAATAGAAGCATCTGAACAAGCTGATAAGCATTTTTAAATTAAAAGTAAATTTACATTTGCGAATAATCTAGATATTTTCAAATTTATCCATAATGCAAAAGGTAGAATAAGCAAATATTCACAAAGTTTCTATTACATGCACTGTTCTTTGTAATAGGTTTCTGCCACCAAGGATCTTAAAATTGAAGAAAAATAAAACAATGTAGGGACCAGCAGGTGGCATGGTGGTTAAGGTGCTGGACACTCCCACATGGCCGACCACGGTTCAAGTCCTGAACCTGGTAGCTTGCTTTCTCACTTTCCCTCTCTCTCTGTGTGTGTCTAACTCTGGTCAAATTTTAAAAAATAAATGAATGGATAAATAAATAAATAATTTTTAAAAAAATGTAAAAAGGTAAATGATATTTCACTACTGTAACAGAAATGTTACAGAGATGTCTCCCTCCCCCCCCTTGTGCATGTGCCCCGTAGTGAATTAAAAAATAATAATGATGATAAATAAGACTAAATCATTCTTTTTAAAAACAATTGCATAAAAGGAAGAGTATTTTTTTCAGATGGAGAGGTCAGGGGCTGCTTAATGGAGGAGGTAGGACAGGAAAGAAAAAAAATGGGCTCTGTAAAACGTCTAGAGGGATCAAGAAAGACAACGGCTCACTAATGGTAAAACAGCAGGTCGAAGTTACCTTTGGTGTAGTTTTTGAAACAGAGTTTAAACAACCTGCAAAGCAGGGAGAAAAATATTGAACTCCATCTTCTCCACAGACAGGATAATAATATGATTGCAAACAGTTACAATTGGCATTGCAAGGGGCTGTCAGGTTCCCCAGGTTGCCTGTCCTGTAATTAAGAAAGGATAAAAAAGGTAAGTTATCTATGCCGTAACTTTTAGTGAACAGCTCAGAAGCATTGCTGTATCTTGCCGGTCCATCATTCACTCACTCACTCAGTATATATTGGGTAAAGTCAGGACCTATTTTTCTATGCAAAAATGTGTCATGACCTTTCTGACAACCCAACAGAATCACTGAAAGCATAAAACAAAATTTCTACTTTTGCACATGGAGCTTAACTTCCTGAGGGGAAGCAGCAATAAAATGTTACACAATATCATGTTGTCACTGATACGAAAAATAAGCAGAGTAATAAAGACAGTAGTAATTGTCATTTGATGCCAGCTAACTCTTGGAAGGGGCTAGATCTATTGATCCATAGATGCAAAGACCCTCTCACCCCCCTGTTTTTAATTACTGGAGGGGCACATGCACTTGCCAGAGAGAGAAAGAGAAGGACAAAGCACCCCACATAGGATATGCCCATGCCAGTTTCTTTTCTTTGAAGTCTCCACCCTGCTAGGATTTGAGGCACAAATGCACATGGACCCTTGGCCTTTTGGACTTGACTCCCTTAACCACGAGGCTATAGATCAGTCCTGCAAAAGCCCATTTTAACCCACCTGTGCTGATGTCTCAGAGACCCTTTGCATCACGCAGCTGGAAACCCTACATTCTCACAAACTCTTCTCCCCACCCTTTCCAAAGCAGTATTTATTGAGCTTCTGAATCTGTTCTTCCCTTACATCTTTCTTATACACATGTTTCTTCTTCAATTAGGCTGTTTTGACTATGTTTTGTCATGTTATGAACCTTTTCATTTGCAGGGTACAGTAGCTAAAATTTCTTTTAAAAAAAACTTAAAATTTGAGACCATGGGTGGGGGGGAGGGGGAGAAGAGATCATGGGGGGAAAAAAGATCTGACAATCTGACACCTACTTTGTGACACTAAACTCTACTTATAGCTACATATACATACATAGATATAAATGGATGTGGGTATATGGATGCATATACTCATTTTCTGCTTTTTCAACAGTAAGAAATGTGTATGTTCATTAAACAGTATCTCCATATATTCTTGATATATCTCGATGGCCAACCCTGTATCCTGGTGGGTTAAGATGAGTTAGTTGGTACCTGCAAACTAACACCATCCATCTTACTTCTTTTCAGATTACGCTAAGGACAGGTTGCCTGGTAGTAACTCTTGTTTCAGGTCAAAAATAAATGAATAAATAAAATAAATCAAGTGAATTCACATATACTTTTTCTTGTTACTCGAGGTGATAACATGTGTGTTAAACTATCCAGATCTTTCTGGTTTTCCTAAAGGAAAATGCAGAAAAACTATTTTGTTGGTAAAATTTATGGGGATGAAAGAAATCTGCAAAACTAATTTCTATCTGCCTTTTAACATTGTAAGATACGTTTCTACTGTTTCCAGACACAACCAAAACTCATTTAAACTAGCCCCTGAACCTAAACCTTCAGTTTTTACAGCATTTATACATTTGGCTTCACATATTCACTCTCTTTGTACCCTTAATAGACATTTAAACCCTATTTTGCTATAATGCCGTGAGTCATTCCCGAACCTAATCAAATAAAATTGAAAAGTTCTCATTCTTTTGAATTCCGTAGCCTTTTGTGGGTCTCTTATTACCTAAGTCATCTGTTTTGTTTTCCAGTCTCTCCTTTAGAGCAGGGTTTTGGCTATAAATAGAGGAAGCTTTCAACCACTGTTGAATAAACGTAATGGAGCCTAAGAAAACAGTGCTTCACAATGCTGAGCGTCAAAGCAATGCGCAAGAATGACAGACACATGGACAGCCACTACGAATTATGCTGTTACTGGCAAGCTTTGCCAAAGAAAGTACAACTGAGTTATGTCCTCCTCCTGCCATATTACACGAAATGATGGAGTCCTTGACCTGGACCACCTCCACCCTCGACGGCTCAACGCGTCATGAAGCAAAGCAGCACTGTGCGCTACGCTATGCGGCTACATAACACCCTCCGGCTCCATCCGCCCCTCGTAGCTTAGAATTTCAAAGTAAAACAAACAAGGCAAAGGAAGAAGGATAAACGATCAAGCCAGTTATACACAGAAACACATTTACAGGTCAGAACAAGAAAATATTTCTCTACAATAATCATGAACCTCTAAGTAGATCTAAGCGTGATAAGGGTCACATGGACTAGTTTCATTTTAATTTCTCTTCTCCTTTCAACCCACCCAAGAAGGGAATTTTCTTATAGGAGTCATTTCCACGTTTAAAAAGTTAAAGTGGCAGGAACATGTAAATGAAATTCTCCTTAGGATGAGAATTCCTTATGAAGACAAAGGTTCTCTCGTGTTAATCTTTGTAACCTTAAGCCAAGCGTAGGGCCTAGGTACATGATAGTGTCTACTTAAATACTCTCTGAAGGGCCAGGGGATGATGCAGGGGCAACACTTTAGAACACGTCTGGGTTTGCATGCCACACTGGACTGAGCATGCAGACACATGCAGGTGTGCCCATGGTCCAGGCCAGCTGGGACTGGAGTGGATGGGTCACGTAAAGACTGTTGAGAGTCTTCCGTTTCTCTCTCCCTTTCTCTCGTGGAAGAAACAAATGAATAAGCTTAACATATATATACTTTAAAAATTACTCTAACTACCCTCGACTTTTAAGAAGAAAGACATCAATCATTTAAACTTAAAAACAAAAACACATGTTCTCCCATAGATAGATGCTTTTCGTTTCGTTTTGTTTTTGTTTTTGTTTTTGAATGCTTTGTATTCTTTTAAAAAGCCAGTTCCTCTCCATTTTCTTTCAGAAAGCGTATTCTTGGAAATATCCACAGAGTGCATAGCATACTACGCTGATATGAGGATCAAACAGCACTGAAATACACTTACCCATTGTATGGCTCAGACACACCAGCAAATGACTCGTTTTCACAGTTGGCGTAGATAAACACAAAACTCAGCGCAAGGGCAGCTCCGGACGTGAGCAAGGCAAACTTCATGGTCTTTTTACATGTCATTTTGAATTTTGAAACAAAGAAACCACCCAAAATCTGACCCAGAGCAGCTCCAGGGATTAAAACCGCCCCTAGTGAGAAAGAAAAAACAGTGAGAAAAGACTCAAGTAGACTCAGTGATCCAGATCCATACCAATAACTAGAAAGCAGAGAAACAACTAGGTCTTCCATACAGAAAAGCGTTTACCTGATATAGAAATGTATGCATGAATGACTTGATAGGTCCCTAAGTAAGGGAATAATAAAGTCAATCTATTGACATTAAGATCTACACATACTTTCTTGGGAACCAGCAGTTAGCGTAATGGCTATGTCGCTGGACTCCCACGTAGTCGACCACGGTTCATGTCCTGGACCCAGTGGCTTAAAACTCATGCCGGGCACATGTGTGTGCGTGCCCAAGATCCCGAGATGAGAATGGAGGAGAAGGGACTGCGGTGTGACCATCCTCCCTGGGGGGTGATTTCTCGCTTTCTGTCTCTATGTCTCTCTCTGTCTGTCTGGCAAGCGCACGCGCCCTATAGTGAAAACCTCTCCAAAAAAAAAAGATGTACACATCCTTTCTTTAGCCTTTCAACATTGTTCCTCTCACCTATATACAACAGATTGTTTAAAGTTCGAAAATCAGAAACTTTTACCTAAGTCAACATGTAAAGTTTACATTTTAAGGATTGAGATAGCCAAAGTTATATATTATCCTAATCAAAACTTAATATGACCAAGTAAAATTAAGGTTAACTTGGAACGAAGAAAATGTTTTACCTCCAAGTGTAGCTGCAAAGCTGGATGTCAATCCAAATTGATTTTCTATAAACTTAGGTAAAAAGGCAGCAAATCCAGTAGTAATTAAGGCTTCTGAAGAAGTTGATAGAACTAAACACATAAGGACAGTATTCTTCATCAAACTCTAGAGAGAAATACAATTCACCCAGTGAGTAACTCTGATTATGCTGTACGGTTTGGCATTACAATAGCAGTATGGTGAAATGACAAAATTTCTACCAAATACCATACTATTATCTGTGAAATTCCAGCATGTCCTCCAACATAAAAATATAGCTATGGATAATTCATAGGCTTACATAGACAGTAATGAAAAAAATGAATGTGAAGAGTCACAGAATTGACAGGGGGTGGATTCACCCATATGGTGATAATGGCTTTATCACCTTCAAGGGGCCAGAGCAAGAAGGTAAAATCCCCTTAAAAATATTCCTTTCTCGGACCAAAAGTTAGCGTAATGGGTATGTCGCTGAACTCCCATGTAGTCGACGGTGGTTCGAGTCCCGAACCCGGTGGCTTAAACTTACGCCAGACACCATGTGTGTGCATGCCCAAGATCCCAAGAGAGAATGGAAGAGAAAGGATTGCAGCACTGCCATCTCCCCTGGGGAGTGATTTCTCACCTTCTGTCTCTGCAAGCACCCCATAGCAAAAACCTCTCCAAAAAAAAAAAAAAAAAAAAAAACCCCCAAAAAAAAAAAAAAAAAAAAAAAAAGAAAGGAAATGTTCCTTTCCTAGTCTTATGGTAAATCTTCATACTATATCTAGTCCCATTTGATTTTTTCCAATTGTGTTTTGAATTCATATAACTAGCAAATGAAGAACCCGAGACTGTGAGCACAGACAAGAATGGTTTCTAAGTGCAACACTTGCAGTATTGTTACACAATTAAAGGACTCACTAATTAAGAATCTTAGACAGGTAAGACTAGCAGATGATGTAATGGTTACATTGCTGGACTCCCATGTAGTCAACCACGGTTCAAGTCCCAACCAACTGCTTAAAACACACTAGGCGTGTGTGCGTGCATGGCCAAAATTCTGAGAGGAGAATGACTAGGCGTGCATGGCCAAAATTCTGAGAGGAGAATGGAGAAAGGACTGCAGCGTGGCCATCCCCCACAAGGGGTCCTTTCTCTCTGTCTCTCCACAAACCATCCCCCACCCACACTGCCCCTGTGTATTACAACAATAGCAGTCGTAATTAAAAATTGAGAACAATCTCAACAAACACAAGAGTGCATAGCTGTGAGAAGTGGGAAAGGAGAAGTAGGCTGAAGTTAAAAATATTTATGGGTCTCAATTAAGAAAATGGCCATCAATAATAAACAGTAGATAATCTCACATCTTGAAAAGATTTTAAACTCCTCTGAACAAAACTTTTATGATCATAGAAAGAATGCTTGTCTGCTGCATATAACAGAACATACCAAAACAATTTTTTCAGAGGTTTTTGCCTTAGGGCATATGCACTTCCAGAGAGAGAAAGACAGAGACAGTGAAAGGGAAATTGAGAAATCACCCCTAAGCAGGGATGGGCACTCCATTCTCCTCTCAGGATCTAGGGTATGCACCCACATGCATGGCATGATTTTCAAGCCACCAGGTCCAGGACTCGAACCTCAGGTAGACATGTGGGAGTCCAGTGTCATAACTGCTACTTCATCTGCTGGCCCCAACACTTTTTTTTTAATCTCAAATTCAAACAAATTACCACTTACCACCACCTCTGCCAAAAGGAAGACTATCAGAGTGGCATTCTCAAAGATCTATTTACAATTCAGTGGTAATTGGTCCATCCATCATGTAAGGGGAATGACACGGAATAGCGGGCTTTAGTGCCAATGAGGACCATGGAGCAGTGCCGAGAGTAACTCGTGCTTTCTGCTCCACACTAGTTTTCATGTACTCCAAGACAACGAAACTAATCTGAAGAGTTGTTTGCAAGAGCTAAAATCGTAGTAAATGAGCAACCAAAAATGTATTATGGAAAGACTGTGTTTGTGTATGTGTGTCTATGCATGCATGTATGTGTGGTCATTAAGGCACAGGTGTAAAATATACACCTATCTACATACATGAACATACAAATGTGGAGCACATGCATGTGAGAGGCAGCACATGGGTGTGTAAGCGTGAGAGAGAGCACATTTGTGTTACCTTTAGAGCAGTTGGAAAATCTTTGATACTTTTCCCAAAATTCTCATCAGCATGGTATAAGAAACTACTCTTGTTCTGATGAGCCTGGGACGTTTTAGCAGCTTGAATTTTTGCTGTACCTGAAAAAAAAAACAAAAGGCACTTGTTCTATCACTTTACACGTCATTTTCAGAAATGTTCACTTTTTAAATTTATTTTATTTTTATTATTTCACAAGTATATAAATCTCGTAGCACGAGAAGCCAGTTCCTCTCTTTGCCCATAAAGTTGTACAGTACAAATAACTACGTCTATCATCAGCTTGTAGTCATTAGCACTAGCTACGGCAGTCACAGCCAGGTTAAGTACTGAACTGAGACAACGTTGTTCCAAGTACATATTTATTCTCTTAACTTAAAATCTCTTTCTTCCTTTCAAATGGTTGTTTTTATCATTTCCCTTTGTTCTCTTCCATCCTAACGTGCTTGGCAGATGAAATAATACCCTGGGTTTTTTTTGATGTTTTAGTAATGGTACTATAAATAAATTGAGAAACTAGTCAACATACGGAACTATAAATAGAATAACCCAGGGTAGAAAAATCAAGGAATTCACTAACTTCTAGTCTGCCAACATTTGTTTTACTCATTTCCAGAAGTTAATCATATATCTTCTTGCAAATATCAATGGGAATAACTAAATGCTATCAACCTACTATTTAAGTACAAGTACAGAAGTAAGACCTCAGAGAGGAATGGACATTCTTTTGCTTTGTTTTTAGTTTTTGCCATAGGGTGTGTGTGCTCACCAGAGAGAGCAGGAGGGAGAGGGAAAGTGGGAAATCACTCCCCACGGGGGAATGGTCATCCTACAATTCCTTCTCCATTTCTCCCTCCGTTCAGGATTTTGGACACACACACATGCCCACTATGTTTCTCAAGCCATTGGGTCTAGGACTCAAACCGTGCCACTGGCCCCCTGGGACCTGGCCACCTTATCACCATGCCATGTACTGGCCCTGAAAGGATATTCTTGTCTATTAACATCTTGTTTTACACAGACTGTCCAGCATTGAAATACAGTTTGAAAAAAATGAGTGTATGCATGACCTTAATGACTGAAAAAAATGAGTACATATATTTCCCATTATAAATAACTAACATAAACTTCTTAAGGCAGATTGGTCTTCTAAATTAATGACTAACTGGAGCCAGCCCCACAGTGCAATGATTATGCTCTGTGTAGTGGAAGCCGGATCCCATATGGCCAACCCGGGTCACATGTCAGCCCTGGCAGCTTATGCGCCGGGGTCCGATGAGCGCCTACTCAGGATCCTAACAGGATAAAAAGCTGAATGAACAAAAAGAAAGAAAAAGATTGCAGTATTATGAGGCTCCAATGGGGTTGCTTTCTATCCCTGTCCTTTCTCTCTCTGTCTCTCTGTCTCTCTGTCTCTGTCTCAGGTATACATACACCCTCTTACATTATAAAAGAAAAAAATAGTACAAAGGTGAGTATGCATGCAGTGTTATTGATTATTTATTGGAAATAAAACCCAAGACATTAAGATTGCTATGCAGTATTTCCTAAGATAAAGAGAGAGATTCAAAAGTTTACATAGGCAGAAAATTCATTTCTTTCTAGAAAAACAAATGGGCCAAATCTACAGTTCTTACTAATCATATAGGAAAAAAAAAAAAAAAACATGTGGCCTAGAGTTCAAATAAAATCATGGCATCCAGTAGGTGGTGCGGTGGTTAAGGTGTTGGACTCCCACATGGCCATCTGCAGGTCAAGCCCCAGACCCGCCAACTTGAAAAATCATCCTGGGTGTACGTGCATGAGAGCCCAGAATCCCAAGTCAAGAGGAGAATGGAGAAGAGATTGGGGTGTGTCCATCCCCCAAGGGTGATTTCTCACTTTCTGTCTCTCTCTCTCTCTCTGGTCAGAGCACACACTCCATGTTGGAAACCTAACAAAATCAAATCAAATAAAAATAAAAATTTAACTCTCTACTTAAGAAAAAAACAATGTTGGCTAGCCACACGAATCATGATAGCACAACACTCTGTGGTGCCAAAGCCAAGTGGGAGGGTCCCAGGTTAGGGACACTGGCATGTTTACCATGACCCTGGCTGGCTAAGGCTGGGGGTACATCACAGAATAAAGACCCTGTAGAGGGCCTAACACACTCTCTCTCTCTTTTTCATAAAGAAAATAAGGTTTTAAAAGAAACTTAAAGATCAAATAAACAGAACAAAACAAAAAAACAAATGAACAAACATATTTACCTGGTAAACGTTTCGGAAAGCAAGAAAAAGGTATGATCAAAGACCAAGCGAAGAGCCAAACTATAAGAAATCCAATCCACCAAGCCCCCAGCCATCGGGGGTCGTCCTCAGTGATGTCAGTGCTACACAACAGAAAGACGAGAAGAGGGTCAACATCTTATTAAATGAAAGGAAGTCACGGTAATCTCATTCAAGTGCTGCAGTAGAATGTTATTATAATACCTGAACTTGTGAAGCAGGCAAAAATGAGTTAGGAATAACGGTTTACAAAGTATTTTGAAAAGGCAAATATGATATAAAAGGTTGAAATATTTAATAGTTAATATATACATGATCAATATGTCAAAACTTACATAAAGTTTCTGAACATGTTTGAACTTTGGTTAAGGTATTTTCTCTTCTATTGTTTTAAATTCAACCTGTCTCACAGAAAATAACTTAATATATGTGAAGGCCATATGCCAGGCTTCAATAACAGCATCTTTTAATGTGAAATTATTCAAGTGATCTGTTAACAGTGTTTTTATAATGGTTCTTGTTTTTTAATAACAAAAGGCCATTTCCTAAAACGTACCACTCCTACAACTCAGATAGTTTTCCTCTGACATTAAAATGCCCTTTCTTAAAACTCTGTGTAATTTAAGAGTTTTTTTCCTCACACCTTTTTATGCTTTCCAGAAGATTAACCTCTGACTAACAGCTCAGTGAACCACATTTTCTTCATCGCTCTCAGTCATGCAGAGAAGTATGCAGTTATGAATCCTATCAGTAAAATGAGAAAATGAGGCATCAGGCCTCAAAGATCACTAACGTCTTTATTTATGAGAGATTTGTGCGATAGGGCCCATGCGCTCACTGAAGAGACAGAGAGACACAAAAAGCAAGAAATCACCCCCTAGGGAGATGGCTAAGCCCAAACCCCTTTCTCCATTCTCCTCTCAGGATTTTGGGTATACACACATATGTGCCTGGTGTGTTTCAAGCCACTGGCCCCAGGATTGGAACTGCAATTGACCATGTGGGAGTCCAGTGCCTTGTCCACTATGCCACCTGCTGGCCCCACTAACATTTTTATTAAGGAAAATGAGACAAGTGAGTGTGTAAGAGGGAAATTTTAGTGTCAAAAAGGTACACTTCAATTCATGTCTTGGCCACTTCCATCCTGTGTCTACCATTTACCTTTTAGGATTACTGAGAGGATTAGATAAGATGGCATGTGAAAAAAGTTAACACACAAAACATGTCTGGAATAGAGTACAGAATAAATAAATATCATCTGCTATTACCCTTCATTGTCACATTTGTTAAGGTGGCATGACTGTGAGCTCTATGGCATTATTGATGCCATTACTTGATTTATTCTGAGAATCACGGACTCCAGAGACATCTCAGGCTATCTACTTTCATCTAGCTCTACTGAAAGGATAACTAATTTTCAGTCAATTCTTGATACACGCATTGGCATGGAGTCCTAGGTATACATTCATTAAAATTTCAACAGGTGACTCTATTAAATGCCGTTTTTAATAAATACATTATTACACTAAGGGAAGGTGTAAATATGGTTCAGAAAGCATTGCAGCCAAAATATATTTGCTAGAAAGTATGCGTATTCGGTTTTATATCCTGAGGTTTCCTTCCTGCTGGATGAAGGAAGTACCCTGAAAATGTTCAGTCTACAACGTTAGCACTGAAGCACACAGAAGGCCTTGCCTGTGTCCCATAGCGACATCAATGTACATGGTCAGCAGCCGTCCTCCCAGCACATAGCCAACAGCAGGGCCCAAGATCGACATGGAATAGCCAATTCCTACAAGAACCAAGACATGGAAAATAGTCACATGTGCAACTTTGCTTTTCATATCTGACAAGAGTTCGAGGGAAGAAATATTGTACTGTAGGAAAATCTAAATGATTGGACTTACATCAAAATTACACATAATGTTACTAAAAGTATCACTTAACAGTAACGTTAGTCAATAATCTAGTCAAGAAACCCAAGTGTGTATATATATATATGTGTGTGTGTGTGTGTGTGTGTGTGTGTGTGTACATGACTCGATCCATGTAAAAGCTGTTTGACCACAGTAATGATTAAGATAAACCCAATAATTATAACCCAGGGTTAGTTATATTACGTTAGCTGCTGGCAGGGGTAATTTACTATTACTCTTTGCGGGTAACGGCAATTATTTACAGTATGGGGAAATGAGAAGCCTTTTCCACTCTGCACTCTCTCAGAAACGATTTTTATTTTGCACTATAGCAGCTGATACCGCTGAAAACAAGACCTAGAATTACTTTGTTTCTTAAAAGTAAGCCATTAGGGGACCAGCAGTTGGCATAATGGCTATGTCGCTGGACTCCCATGTAGTTGAGTGCAGTTTGAGTCCCAGACCCGGTGGCTTAAACTTAAGCCGGGTGCGTGTCCATGCGTGCCCAAGATCCTGAGAGGAGAATGGAGGAGAATGGATTGCAGAGTGGCCATCTTCCCCTGGGGGGTGATTTCTTGCTTTCTATCTCTCTGTCTCTCTCTTTCTGACAAGTGCACGCGCCATATAGCAAAAGCCTCTCCAAAAAAAAAACAAATAAATACATGAGTAAAAGTTTTATTCAAAGAGAAACTTGAATGAAGTTCAAGTTTTCATTTTATTTGTATTTATTTATTTTAAATTGTTTATACATTCAATCACTGTATATCATTACAACTTGCAAAATAAATTTTTCCAGCATGAATACACTGTATATTAGTCTAGTTAAAGATATTATTATACATATTATCATTAACAAATAATTTTCCATTTTTATGTCCCTTAAATGTTTGGCTTCTTTTTTATTTTATATCCTGAGGTTTCCTTCCTGCTGGATGAAGGAAGTACCCTGAAAATGTTCAGTCTACAACGTTAGCACTGAAGCACACAGAAGGCCTTGCCTGTGTCCCATAGCGACATCAATGTACATGGTCAGCAGCCGTCCTCCCAGCACATAGCCAACAGCAGGGCCCAAGATCGACATGGAATAGCCAATTCCTACAAGAACCAAGACATGGAAAATAGTCACATGTGCAACTTTGCTTTTCATATCTGACAAGAGTTCGAGGGAAGAAATATTGTACTGTAGGAAAATCTAAATGATTGGACTTACATCAAAATTACACATAATGTTACTAAAAGTATCACTTAACAGTAACGTTAGTCAATAATCTAGTCAAGAAACCCAAGTGTGTATATATATATATGTGTGTGTGTGTGTGTGTGTGTGTGTGTGTGTACATGACTCGATCCATGTAAAAGCTGTTTGACCACAGTAATGATTAAGATAAACCCAATAATTATAACCCAGGGTTAGTTATATTACGTTAGCTGCTGGCAGGGGTAATTTACTATTACTCTTTGCGGGTAACGGCAATTATTTACAGTATGGGGAAATGAGAAGCCTTTTCCACTCTGCACTCTCTCAGAAACGATTTTTATTTTGCACTATAGCAGCTGATACCGCTGAAAACAAGACCTAGAATTACTTTGTTTCTTAAAAGTAAGCCATTAGGGGACCAGCAGTTGGCATAATGGCTATGTCGCTGGACTCCCATGTAGTTGAGTGCAGTTTGAGTCCCAGACCCGGTGGCTTAAACTTAAGCCGGGTGCGTGTCCATGCGTGCCCAAGATCCTGAGAGGAGAATGGAGGAGAATGGATTGCAGAGTGGTCATGTTCCCCTGGGGGGTGATTTCTTGCTTTCTATCTCTCTGTCTCTCTCTTTCTGACAAGTGCACGCATTCTATAGGAAAAACCTCTCCATAAAAAAAAAAAAAAAAGTAAGCCATTAGATCCTGCCTTAGGACCACCTTAATCCCCCTACCCTAAATTCCTTTCCTTTAAAAGCCTGAGTGCTCCTACCCTTCAGCCTGATGTAACTCCCTTTCCTTCCGAAAGTGAATAAAGCTTTTCTACCCACCCCCAAAAAGTAAACCATTAGATCAGCTCTCCTGCCCTTAGTGCCTTTCCTCATTTTCATAAGCAGCAGAATTAAATCAAGCTTATTCAGCTGTCAGACATTTTAAAATCTGCCACATATAAATTTCAATTGCTGCGAAACAAAACTTAGACATGTACCAGTATATTAATATACTGCCACCTTCTAGACTTTTTAAATTAACTGCTGAGGTACTTATTATCATGTGAAAGAATATAAAACTTTGTATTATACTCCAAACTAAGCTTATAGGAATGACAAAAATGACCTATGTACTAGACCACGTTTCCAAAGTAAAGTTCAGGCCAGATGTTCTGAAAACTAAAAGAACACTGACTTATCTGTCTACTACCTAAGTTTATATTCCAGCTATATTTTAAAGTGTTAAAAAAAGTAGAAAACCTAAAGTATAATTTATAAGCAATTAAACACACACATATAAACAATACATGCCAAAATTAGTAAATGCAAGAAATCAGTGATCAAAATTATCTTAGGTGATGGAGTTTTGTTCTATATTTTCAATTGGGTCAGACTGGTCATTTTGTAGGGATCTCTCATATATTTGAGAGAGTATGAAATTACTGCACAAGTTTCCATACGAGGGATGTGCCCAAGAAGATGCAGTGGTCTTCGCTCTCAACACACAGACTCACAGTGGTTGTGGTTGCAGGTCTCCACGGTTAGAAGAGACTGGTGAGAATTCACAAGGCCATGCAAAAAATAGATGGCACGTCATGCCCAGGCTAGTTAGCTGCACCTTTAGAGGATGCCAGAGAAGGGATTAAATTCATGCTAGCGGGAATTAGATCACAAAGGGGAACTAAAAGACATGAATAAAAAGGGCTGATTGGAAGTAAAATACTCCGTAGTATTTACGGGCACTGTCTCTGGCTTCTTTTGTGGACTCTAGTCAAGTCTATGCAGGCGGTAACAAGGCACATAGAATGGCAGAGCTTAAACTCCGTGCCTTGTGGATGTCATCCCGGGGTTCAAGCAATCTAGACAGAATGCCACTGGATAGCTCTTCCCGTCCAGGAAGGTGGGGGGTCGGGTGTTTTGTAAGCCTGTGTTATGATTCTCTTAGAGAGTAAACAAACAGTAAGACGAAACCACAATGAGGCGATTGCATTCCCGATGAGCTCACCTATATAGAGAGAGGATTTGTGTATGGGTACCGACTCATCAATAAAGGCCGTGCCCAGGGTGTAGAGGGGCGTCCCTCCGACTCCCAGCAATAGCTGTCCCAAGATGAAGACATACAAGTAGTTAGAGAGTAAAGATGTCGAAGACGTACAGCTGGTGCTATTCCTTGATGCTGAGCAAGTGTCTGTAGGGGAGGAAAAAAGCAAGTATTACAATTGTGGATTTGCAGAAATGTAGCTAATAATGCTGCTTGTTTAGTTATGATATATATCTATTTAACTATACATTTCTACCTTACAAATTATACTCGCTGACATGATCTTCTTTATTTCTCCCCGTCATTTCAAAATTTGATTATATTAACATGCATACGTCACTGGAGAAAATGTATTAAATACTATGTTAAAATATAGAGAGTATGGAAGACACAGAACAAAACTAAGAAACAGTACATTAAAAATAAAAATTAACAAACTTTCGGGACTAGCAGGTGGCATGGTGATTAAGAGTGCTGGACTCCCACGTGACTAACCACGGTTCAAGTCCCGGACCTGGCAGCTTGCTTTTTCACTTTCCCTCTCTCTCACTCACTCTGTCCCACTCTGGTCAAATTTTAATTAATTAATTAATTAATTAATTAAAGTTAAATAAAATAATTATAAATAAATAAACCTTTTTGCTCATGTAATAAAGGTGTTTACTATTTCTCCCTTCCCCCAAAAAAATTAACAAATTTTCAGGCAAAGTAATCTAAACACAAACAAATCAAGTAGTGCCAGAAAAGGATAGTTTTCAAATTAAGAGGGAAACAAAAACCTTTTTTTCCCAAGTCATAAGTAAAGAATAGACACCACATTAAACTTATTCATTGATACCTTACATACTTTTCAAAATAGGATATTTTGAGCAAAACTGTCATCGTCAATACTCACTACAAAGCAAGCAGCGATACCGAAGTTACATTTAGTTATTTAGTCATTTAGAGCTCAAACTATTTCCTTAAATGTCTTTCTTTGAGATACCCTATCAAAGGAAAAATGGTTATCTTTAAGAATTGACTAAATTGTCTTTAAAATCATTTTTTTTTTTTTTTTGGGGAGAGATTTTTGCTATAGGGTGTGTGTGTTCTCCAGAGACACAGAAAGAGAGAAATCACCACCCAAGCGAATGGCCACACCACAGTCTCTTCTCCTCCATTCTCCTATTGGGATTTTGGGCATGCACATACATGAACCTGGCTTGAGTTTTAAACCACCAGGTTTATGCACGCCGCAATCCCTTCTCCTCCATTCTCCTCTCGGGATCTTGGGCACGCACGACACGCACCCAGCATGAGTTTAATCCATTGGGTCCGGGACTTGAACCGTGGTCACTAAGTGGGAGTCCAGCGACACAGCCATTATGCCATCTGCTGGCCCCTCTAAAATCCCTTTCTAAGGAAAAACTAGATAAAATAGTAAATTCTTTTTTTTTTTTTAATTTTGCCTGAGGACCAGTACTTTCACCAGAAAGACAGGGGAAGAAAGAAAGTGAGAAAGCATCCCCCCCATGAAGAATGGCCTTACTGTAATCCTCTCTCCATTTCTTCTTCCTTTTTAGAATTTTGGGTACACAAGCACATATGACGTGCTTCTCAATTTGCCATTTCCAAGATTCAAACTTTGAAGTCAGTCACGTGGAAACCAGTCTCTTTAACCAAACCACCATGCCACAGGTCAGCCCATAAACTTGTATTTCCTAACTCATGCGTTATCAATGAGCTGAAATGTTTTTTTAAAAAATAACTCTCACAGGCTTAGCCAGTGGCCAGGTAGTAGCTAAGCACGGACTCCAGAAACCATATAGAAGGTGAGGATTTGGTTCCTGGGTTGACCAGGCACATGGCAGGTGCAGCGTGCTTGGCTGAACGAAAAGCTGGGCACATCGCAGCCTGAGATCCTATTGACCGGGCTTGCCTTTCTCTCTCGGTCCATCTCGCATGACATATATAAGTAAATTCTAAAATAAGACTAATAATATTCTCAACCTTTTCCCTTTGAATGTGGTTTATTACTCGCAAATCTGCATTTTAACACTGGCCTGAGCTAATTCCATTCCCCCTGATATCAGACCAGGAGTCTTATTTCCTGATAAATGAGATAAGCAACACTCCCAAAGCAGCATTCCTGAGATTACCTGTCTTTAATTGCCATGGGTGGGGCAGGGAGAAAACACCCCACACTTGGAGCATGGCCACACCACAAGCCTTTTCCATTTCTCCACTTTAATGGGGATTTTGAGTGCGCGCGCGCGCACACACACACACACACACACACACTCACGCTCACACCTGGCATGTTTTTCAAGCCCCAGGGGCCAGGATTCCAATCCCTTGGTCAGTCACGTGAAATCCCCCTTAATTACCAGGCCACAGAGCCAGCCCTGTTATCCTTATTACAAGGTAGTGATGTGATGTATATTTAAGTTTCCCCAGGCACAATTGTGCAAGCCTTTCTGTAAGACAAGCTACAAAGAATAGAACTGCTAGGTCAAACTGTATAGATACGTATATCTTGACTCTCTTTTCAAAAAAATTTTACAGGTATGCAGTCCCTCCAACAACAAAGCAATTACCTCATATACGAAACATTAATTGCTACCAATTTCATTGGTTAAAAACATTACATGTTTGGTTTAATTTTTTAATGTCACCAGTGAAATCAAACATTTTCCCATGTTTGTGGAGCACTTGCATTTTCTATGAAATAACCTTTCAAACTGACACCACAGGTTCTTGAGTTTGATATAGGACATAAAACATTTCCCTGCAGCATAGTGATTACATATATATTAACCATGATTTTTTTTTTTTTGGAAGAGGTTTTTTTGCTATAGGGTGTGTGTGCGCTCGCCAGACAGACAAAGAGGGACAGAGAGACAGAAAGCAAGAAATCACCCCCCCAGGGGGTATGGCCACGTCGCAATCCCTTCTCCTCCATTCTCCTCTCAGGATCTTGGGCATGCATGCACACACGCCCCGCGTGAGTTTTAAGCCACCGGGTCCGGGACGCGAACTGCGGTCGACTATGTGGGAGTCCAGTGACATAGCCATTATGCTAACTGCTGGTCCCTTAACCATGATTTTATCCTAGCATTTTTATTACTTTATTTTTAATTCATACATAATCTTCTAGTGAAAGAGAACAGAGACCCAGAATTAGACTAATTAAAAAGCACAGTTATCCCTAACTTTTCTAGGTTTGAAGTTACTACGTGTGCGGTCTTATGTTACTGATTTGATATGATTTATTTACATATCCATTTATTTCGACACACGGTGAGTAAACATGTGAGAGAGACACTGGGATTGGGAAAATGAGAAATCATTCCACATGGGGGCTGGCCACGCCACACTCCCTTCTCCCTTCTCCCTTCTCCTTGCCGAGTTTTGGACACCCACGCATGTATGCCCATTGTAATGTTCAACTGCCGAGTTTAGGACTCAAACTGGCCAGCATGTGGGAGCGCAGCATGTTAATCACCACGCTATCGGCTTGTCCTTTATGTTACTGATCTTCACAGCGCCTCTCCAGCATAAGTCTCTTGTTATTAACCTTAAGTTTTTTGTTTGTTTGTTTTGGTTTTTGAGAGGTTTTTGCCATAGGACGCGTGTACTCGCCAGCCAGACAGAGAGAAACAGAGAGACAGAAAGCGAGAAATCATCCCCCAGGGGGGATGGTCATGCTGCAATCCCTTCTCCGCCATTCTCCTCTCGGAATCTTGGGCACGCACGCACACGCGCCTGGCGTGAGTTTTAAACCACCAGGTCCGGGACGTGAACCGCTGTCGACTAAGTGGGAGTCCAGTGACACAGCCATTACACTAACTGCTGGTCCCTTAACCTTAAGTTTTGAAGGCCTATCGCAGACCGATTTTAACCGGTTCACAGTCCTACACAAAGCTCTGTAACAGTTTACAGATCTACCACTGAAATCTAACGCAAGCAACTGGCCAAGGGATAATTTACCTCTTTCAAAAGTAATAACCCAAAAAGGAAAGTTAATGGCACTGCAGAATAATCTCCAGGAAAAATGTCACCTCAATGTAGATTTTTAAATGACCACACTGCTATTAAAAAAAAAAAAAAAAGATAATAAAAATAATTGTTTCTAAAAACCAAGCGATCAGGGGACCAGAAGATGGCATAATGGCTACGTCGCTGGACTCCCATGTAGTTGACCATGGTTCAAGTCCCACACCCGGTGGCTTAAACTCATGCCAGGTGTATGTGCGTGTGTGCCCAAGATCCCGAGAAGAGAATGAAGACGGGAATGCAAAACGGACATACCCCCAGGGGGTGATCTCTTACTTTCTGTCTGTCTCTCTCTGTCTTTTTGTCTAGTGTATGCACCCTATAGCAAAAAACTTTCCAAAAAAAAAAAGAGAGAGAAAAGAAAAATGACCACCACCCCCCAAAACAAACAAACAAACAAAACAAACAAACAAACAAAAAAATAATCAAGCACTCAGAACAGGGATTTAATGAGTTCATGAAGGGACAGGCAGGTGATGTGGTGGCTAGGCACACTGCACTCTTGCATGGCCAACCAGGATTCAAGTCCCAGACCTGGAGACTTGCTTTCTCACCTTCTCTCTCTCGCTTTCTCTGTGTGTATGTGTGTGTGTGTCTCTCTCTGGAAATATTAAAATAATAGTGATGAATAAAGTTAAATGAAATAATTCTTAAAAAAATAATAAAAATATAAGCTCACAAAAATGTGGTGAAATAAGCAAAGTATAAAATAAAAAGAAAGGGGGGGGTTGAAAGGATTCATGAAAGACGTAAAATTAAAAACAAAATTACGGCCCGTCAGGTGGTGTGGTGGTTAGAGTGGCCGGATTTCACATTGCCAGCAACACAGTTCGAGTTCCGGACACAGCAGCTTAATAAACATGCTGAGGGCCAGCAGGTGGCATAATGGTTAAGGCAATGGACTCCCACATGTATGACCCTGGTTCGAATGCCAGACCCAGAGGCAAGAAACTCATGCCAGGCATGTGTGTGGGCTTGCCCAAAATTTTGAGAGGATAATGGAGGAGAAGCGATTACAGTGTGGACATCCCCTCTTGGGGATGATTTCTCACTTCCTGTCTCTCGGTCTCTATTTCTGACAAGCACAAGCACTTTATAGCAAATATCTCCCA